GATGTAATTTATGTATTTGTCTTATATTCCATGAAAGTTTTTTGGCAACCATTTCATTACTAAAACGAGTCGACATCTGGCCCGTCGCCGACGAATTCGAAGAAAAATGCAGACTACCACGCGTTCAACATCCCAAAAGCCATAATCATAAACCCATAAACATTCCGTTCGCATTGATTTTTTTGGTGCACGCTGGCTGAATACAATTCACTCGTGTCATACAATTAATATTTTAATAATAATTTTTATATTAGAAGCAATAATAATCTAATTTATTAATATAATAATATATAAAGTATTTCAATATCTTTTACCCATTTTTATTAAAAAATCCTTAAGGAATCACGCTTACAGGAGAAATAGTAACAAATTCTGATACAGAGTAACGGATAAGAATCTTCCTAATTGCGCCTAGTAATAGGCAATGTGTATTCAGTGATGTACTTTTTTCATCTGCTCATTTCTGTTTTATTCTTTCTCTCCATATTTTCTTATATTATTCTAACTTTAACATCGGTAAAAAAATAGTTTCGAACAATTGATTATATATTTATATAATCCGAATATTAATTTCTATTCAATGAAGAATTCACAGACAACTAGTCTATATTTCTCTTAGTATTAATAAAAATAAAAAACCCTAACTGTTATTTCTACACTCACACTACTACTCCAGTGACAAATGTTTGAACACTGAAACTTTCTAAGACCTCGGGCATGTTAAAAAATGTAAGGTACACTCGGAGGAAATGCTAATTTGGTAAACTTCAGTTAGAAGCTTTTTAAAAAATTTGCTACTTCAGGAAAGTGCACGCGTTACGTGAGATTACCCTGTAACAGCAGGACGAACTTTTTAATTTTATCAATTTATATAGAGAACCGGTTGATGCCGCCCCATCCCTGAGTCTTCAGGAAACGGTATTTTCCGCACGATCAAAACACAATGAGAAGCTATCTTCGAAACGCGTAAAAATTGTGCCCAGTAAAGCGTGACAATTACTTCGATTGACTTCCTCGATAATTAATTCCTATACCAAATCGACTGACAGTAAAAAATTAATAACATCGTCAACAGGTCAATGTAGAAATTGTTTCATCGAAATAAAAAATGTAACTCATTGGACTTCGTAAATTACGATCGAGATTATATTGAGTTGGCAACTAAGTGATTGCGGATTTTAAATAAGAAGTCTATCGACAAACTCCGCAATTATTTAGTTGCCAACCCAATATATTCCATAATTCTAACATTTTTATGATTACGATAATGCTTGAATTGAATGTATGAATTGAAATATTGACAGAGGTCATTGTTGGCATGAACCTATCGATTCGCCTAATCAATTCCCGTCGAGAAAGTGGATACAATGCACGCTATCTCCAGCGGAGATAAGACGAGACTAGTTAAGTCCACGAGCGAGTTAGAAAATCCACGATGCACTTAAGGCCGAGCCTAAGCAATAATCTTCGAATTACGTAGCCACGGTGCTCGCTCACGTTCGGCAACGAGGTCCGTTGTTTCGGTCCCGG